ATATATATATATATATATATATATATATATATATATATACATCTATATTTACTTATGTTTATATGTGTGTATTTCCGTACTCTATATTTACAGAGTTTTTGTTTTTGTTTTCTGGTAATTTCCCACATGAGCAACAATCTCTACTTACTGGTCCTTATTTTCTGTATTTGTGAATGTTGTGGTACTCTTGTGTGACTACATTTAAGACTAATATATTATTATTATATATATATTTATCTTCATAAAAAATAACTAGAAACGTCAGCACAGCAGTAATATTAATTTGAAATAAAAATATAATAAAAATGTTGTGAATAAAAGCATCTGTTGTAATGATAAATATTTTATTATTATTAATAAAGTATTATACAATACTCCACTACATTTCAAAGCAGAATGGAGCATCGTCTGAATCCCTCTAAAAAATGAACTTGTTTGTAAAAACTCACCTGACAGGTGAGTGAGCTGCCTCTTATCTGTGCTCCACCACAAAACTCATGGTGGTCCCGTCAAATGAGGGTGGGGCGATGATCCGGGGACCTTGCTGGGAGGTGATGCTGATGACCGGCTGCTTGAAGCTGGAGAAGCTGTGCTGTGGCCTGCTGCCGGTTGTCAGCTGCTGAGCCTGGGGAGTCTTTCCAGTGGTCATGTAGAAGGGACTCTCCATGTACATTCCTTCATTCTGTGAGGACGCCTTCTCCCCGCTCTCTGCCTCCGACGGCACCGACATCTGGGACTGCACCAGAGTTCGGGCAGGTATCACTGATGGTGTCGGCACAAAGCTTGGGTAGACCATGTAGGCATGACCGTATGCTGCGGGACTGAGAGCTAGGGGGGAGATGGGCATGGGCACAGGGGTCATGGGAGGCTGGGGCATAGGTACCTCCACATAATGACCTGTTTCAGGGTCAAAAAGGCGCTTTGTGGCTGGCTGCACAGGAGTGTCTACCAGGTAGTAGTTTCCAGTGGTGGGATCCAGGAGCATCTTCCTCTGCGTAGCCTGAAAGGGGTCGAGAGTGGGTGCTGGAGTCATGGCTGGGGAAAAGCAGTACACCTGTGGCTGACTGGCAGAGAGCCCCAGTGGCAGGGTGTGATAGATGGTGGCAGAAGGAACTTCCTGTGGGTGTGTCTCCATTACAAAGCTGGAACGTTTTATCTCTGGGCTGAGGTCCTCCATGCTCCTGAACTCAGACCCCTCGTGTTTTGGAGGACAGCTTGGGCCAAACTTAGCTGCAAACATATTTGCCGATGTTTTATCGGCTGACGGGACTGGTTTGCTGTCACTGAGGTGTGATTTGATTGGAATGGCTAGGTAGTTCTCGTTGTCAGCCGATTTGCCCGAAAACCTTGGCTCAGATCTTTCTACGTCCCTCCATTCAGCTCCTTCATTCCGAGTTATTCCTGTCTGGCTGATTTTTAATGACACGGGCAGCTTGGAGGACTTTGGGACATTTTTGTTGCTAAAAAGCGTCTGTGTCATGGAGTTTTGGTGGTGAACATTAGCAGCTGTGGAGGCCTTCCTGGACTTGTTTTTGGCTCCTGTGGTGCTAAGAGCTTGCACCAGCTTTGACCCTACCCTTTTATCAAGGCTGCTGGATGACTGACGGACTTTGAGGTCTTTGTTCTCCTGCCTGAAGGTGCCGTCAGTCCCAGGTGATGTTGCTAACTGTGGCAGGGTCTTGTCGATGTTAGGACAGGAGTCTCTTCTGACTGTCTTGTCCTGTCTTGCCGCTCTCTCCTCAGACCCCCCCTGTAACTCGGTGGCTATCAGAGACAGAACATGGCTGTCTGTCAGAGGCTGCGGCTCAGTCTTCCTCCTCCACTCGTTCTTATCGAACACATAGAGTTGTTCCATGGTTTTGACAGCAGCCTTGAGTTTTTCCAAAGCCATCTGATTTGCCATGTTTGACTCTGGCTTCTTATCTGCTGTCTCTGACACTTTGTCCTGGTTGTTTGAGGCTACTTTACTCTCAGGCCTCAGCTCTCCTTCTGTGGGGGGAGCTGCCCCTGCTGCTCCCTGAGGTGGGGCCTCCTCTGATCTGTCTGTAACACATGGCTCCTGTTTCACTAACTCAAGACTTTCTGCGTGCTTCCCAGTGTTATTGGTATTAACGGACTGACATTTTATCACTATCGGGGACACGGAGTTGGGGTTGCAGTTGTGCACGTGTTTCTTCAGCTCTGAGTAGCTGTCAGCAGAGGCAAAGCTGGATTTGTTCTCGTTGTTATCCAGAGAAACAAAGTTATAAGAACTTTTCACCAGTTTACGTACATCTCTGACCTGGTGGATGGGAGTCTGCAGCTTCCCTTTGTTGTCTCTGATGTCTCGAACCATAAAATGTGGCACTTTATCTGAAGACTCACCCTTCAGGGCTGCAGCCAGGGCCTGACATTTGAAGCTGTCGGTTCTTATGGGACCGCAGCCGGTGTTAGGAGCGCGCAGCTTGGAGACACCCAGAGGTTCCGTTTTGAGGTCTTTGACGCTCCTCAGGTTGATTTTGATTTCCGGGGATTTGGAGGTGGTTAAACTCCTGGAGTCTGTGATGTATAAGGTGTTGTCGGAGCGTACTTTAGGTCCGCTTCCGTCCTGACAGTTCCTGCTGTGCAGCTGCTGCCCGGCCTCTCCTTCCCCGGACAGCAGCTGGATACTTGGCACAAACAAATGCGACATTTGCGTGAGTTTGCCGCAGCCTGAGGGCCTCTCCGCCTCGTGGTCTTTGTCATCCAGCTTGTCCTGCAGTCTGTCACGGCTCCTGGGGTCTTGTTGAAACCCTAGCTCCTTGTCCCTCCAGCATCTGAAGGCGCTATTTTGGCTCTGGAGCAGGGTGCTCCTGGATGCCTCCAGAGCACCTTTTTTAGTATCGACTCCAGCTCCGCTCGTCTCTAAATTAGTTGCGGGAGCGCTTCTGTCCCGTCTCCGAGACTCGCTCCTGGTTTCACACGAGCCACTGTCCACGATGTCCCCCAGCTCGTCCACGCACATTATGTTGTAGTCCGAGCTGCTCTCTGAGACCTTGGAGCCCCCCTTCCGCCTGTCCCCCTCCTGCGGCGGCTCCCTGATCTCCCCCCTCTCCATCCTGCGCTCCTGCTCAAACTGCATCTTTTTAGAAATGACATTTTTGATGAGGCTTGAGGCGAACACGGCCTTCTTGTTCGTGTCCTCCATGGCTCTGAGGGGGGTCCTGCTGCCCCCGCTCAGCGAGCTCTGGGTAACTTCATCTGCGGAACGTGATCCTGCTGCGCTTTGTGCAAACTGGGCGCACCGTTCTCCCGCAGACTTGACATTACAGCGGAAGTTGAGGGTCTCGGTGAGCCGGATCACCCCACCGTGGCCCTGACCGAACTTCCCCATCAGTTGGATTTGCTGAGCGTGGGGGGTGCTACTCAAAGTGAAAATCTTGCTGCTGGGGGGTTTGAGGCTGGCCAGTGCGATGCCCTTATAACCTTTAGTGTCTGGGTTCTGACAGGAAACAACACTCTGGTCCACGTTCATGTTGCCATATTTCAGGTCTACGAACGTGGACCACCTGCTGAGCTCTGAGGCCGAGGACTCGCTGGAGGTGCTGAAACTGAAGGCATCAAAGTGCTGGGCCAGGCTCCTGAAGGCTCTGGCTGTGAGGCTGCGCACCTCCTTGTCAGCGTCGTCCAGCTCGCTGACAGCACTGGACGTGCTGCTGGACTGCTCCCTCACCTCCTTGCCTCTCAATTTGCCGCCAAAATGCAGACGTCCCGGCGCAGCTATGAGACACTCTGCCTTCCCGTCCACTCCCCGAAACACGCAGCGGCTCACGTCTCCGGCGCGCGCGGTATGATAAAGAATATTTCCCTGTTCTTGAACGTTGCCAGGCTCATTTATAGCTCGAGAGGTGGTTCTGATTGACAGGTGGATCTGCCCCCCACTGCTGCCGCCGCTCTGCTCCTCTGAGCTGGAGAACTTGGCCGCTGCGCGCGGATCACTTTCAGGCAGAGTGCTGACCGCTGCTGCGCCCTGAGCGCGAGGCCGCGCGTGCCCTTTCTCCCCCTCAAAGCAGTAACCCACGAACGGGTACACCTGGCTGTCATCTTCAATGTCCCAGCTGCCCGCGGACGAGCCCGCCCCGAAGTCCCCCTCGTGGTCAGAGAGCTCGGAGAGCTGGATCTCGTGCGTGGTAATGTAATGGGACTCGTCTTCCGCCACGCACGGGCCGGACTCGTAAAACAAAACCAAACCTTCATCATCCACCTCCTCCCCGTCATCAGACTCACTTCTCCCGCTCAGATAATCGTCCCCCCGGGGTGTCTCCTCCTCGTGCAGTGTGCTCCCTGTCTCCTCTGTCGTGTCCGGATGCGTCATTACGCGCGCGCTTGTTCCTCCCAGCTGAAGGGAAACCTCTGCCCTTTTTACACAGCCGGAGGAAGATGATGATGATGATGATGACTCAGCGGCGTCCTCCTTAACGTCTCCGCGCGCATCTCAGGGTCGGCACCGACCCACAGCCGCTGCGCCACCGCCCCTCGCCGGTACCGCTCCTTCTCAGCTCCACGGGTTTGGTTTCGTGTCGCACCTCCACCTTGCGCCGCCCTGCTGCCACTGTTTGGAGCAGCTCCGTCACCTGTGCGCGCGCCGCCGACGCCTCCGCTCACCTTCGTCGGGTCTTTATGGTGAGCGGAGGAGATGGAGGTGCGCGCGGAGCTCCGGGGGCGCAGACTGATGACACCCAGACGATCCGGACATTCCAGCCCCAGACTGAGCAGCTAAAAGGAACCAGAGACATGAGGACTGTCTAGGACACATGACTGTCAGGACAGGGCTCGCGGGCCAACAGGGGTCTAACCCTGTCAACTAAGGCCGGATTTTTGTTCAAGAATTAAAAAAAAAATCTTCCCAATTTAAATATTTTAATCTCAATATAAAGGTTCTTGAATTTTGTGGCATCAGACTTTTTATACCATCAAGATCCATGTTATCACTGGTGTGTGCACTTGCTTGTCTGTTAGCAAAATATTTCATGAGCCAGGGAACAGCAAAGTCCATGCTCAGTAATCCAAGTATAAATCCAACAATGTTCAGTCAGGTCATCTGGACAGTTTCTGTTGTTTGTTTGTTAGTTTTTTTGTTGTTGAGACGTTTCACCCTCCATCTGAAGGGCTTCATCAGTCTGAGGAGTCACAAACAAACTGTTTTCCCCACCAAGCACTCATACAGTGGACCGATAAGTTTGCTGGTGATAAGAATAGTTCCCTAACCAGGGAACAGATTTTAATGAACCCTCAGGAAGTAATCACTGGATAGCGTCTATGACTGATTAACCTTTGGAGTCAACCACATTCAAGATGGCCGCCACAGCAGTCTGACCTTAAAACACAATAACTGTTTTAACTCAACCAGTTTTACGGATGTTTAAATAAACATTTCTATGTTGCTGAGAGTTATACCCACTCTAACAGATCAAACACAACCAGTTTTTAAACTTTACAGGAGTGAACTGAGAGCTGTCTGTCAGTAAAATATCTTGTGAACCACAAGATGAATCTTAATAAAACATTCAGATTTTAATTATTGAGCTTACAACAACTCAAAACCTCTTGGATTTAATCAAATTAAATAATTTGATAAAGGAATATTCTGATCATTTAATGTTGTGGGTTATGAGCAGGGGCAGCTGTGGCTGAGTGGTTGGAGCAGTCATCCTCCAATGGAAGAGTTGGGGGTTCAATTCCACCACCATGTTGAAGTGTCCCTGGGCAAGACTGAACTCCTCATTGTCTCTGATGTGTGTCCCATCAGTGTATGAACATGATCTAAAGCTCTGATTCATCTGTGCAGATTCAGATTATTCTGTGTAGAGAGCTGTATGAATGTGTGTGTTGGAGGTAAATGAGGCACAGGTTGTTGTAAAGAGCTTTGAGTATCTTGATTAGACAAAAAGGTGCTACAGTCCATTTACCATTTATAAAAAAATCCCCCCCCCCCCCCCCACGGATGTTTTACCCTTTTAGTGCCTTCATAGATCAGTCATCAATATAAGTTTACCTTTATTGTAAAAGATAAATTTAAAAACCCTCTATGTCAAAATGAAATCACCTTTTTAGAAAATAATGCCAATTATAAAGAAATGTAAAATAAGTTATAGCATAGGGAGTTTTTTCTTTCCACTGTTGCCTCTGTGCTTGCTCAGGATGGGAGACTGCAAAAAATTCCTTAGATAGAGAACTTTACTAATTGGCTTTTATGTGAATGTTCCTGTAAAGTGCCCTGAGACAACTTTGTTGTGATTTGGTACTATATAAATAAACTGAATTGAATTGAATAAAAAATTACTTCTGGCCTTGGCCGCTAGATTAATCTTCAGGCACCCCAAGGACCATCCAAGGATCATTTGAGGAAAGTTATTTTTGGGTAACATAAATAAATACTACAAATGATAGGGTTAGTTATTTCTCACACACACATAGAGACACTCCCCCCCCCCCCCCCCCCTCTCTCTCTCTCTCTCTCTCTCTCTCTCTCTCTCACACACACACACACACACACACACACACACACACACACGCACACACACACACACACACACGCACACACACACACACACACACACACACACACACACACACACACACACTGAGGAACAGCTTTTACCCTGAAGCTGTTAGACTCATAAATCCTTAACCAGGCTAACCACTGTAAAGAGAAAAAAAACACTGTAATGCCACTTTAATTGGTGATATGTGACTTATCTGTGCTGCTGATTTCATGCTGCTGATCTCATGCTGATGTATTCATTCATACCCACATGCTCACTACAGACTTGTGTTCGGGCTGCTGTTTAATAAACCATATTATTTTTACATTATTATTGTTTAGCGTATATCTTAAATCAGGAGTGTTCAAAGTGTGACCCGAGAGCCATTGGAGTGATTTTATGCGTCCCATGACTGCTATTAATTTTGACCTACAGGCTTAAGAGGTTGATGCAGATGTAGACCTTCTTAAGATTTAATGGTGATACTTCATAAATTTTTAGGTTTAACAGGAAAACAGATTCAAATAATCTTGTCAAAATGAGTGATATTAAGTGCAATACAAATATTTAGCTACAATTAATCCCTTTATCCTACAACAAACTTTCACTGACCTACCAAAAAGTAGAATTTTGGTTAATAATTTATCAAATTTGGCTAAATATGGTAAGTGTTTTCAAAGAAAATAATTTAATTTGATTAAGTAATCAATGGAGAGAAATTGGACATTTTTCAAAGAATATCATCGACATACAAATTCAAACCCAGCCGGTCAAAACAGAGGGCCGCTTGTCCTGATTTCCTGTCTTACTTCTAAAATATGTAGAAAAACACATATAATTGGTTTGTCTATTTTTTACACTGCTTAACTGACCCACTGACTTAACTAACATCAACTTAACTAAAATAATACAAGGAACCAGAAATAAAAACATACCTGCATGGGTCAAGTAGCTCCTCCATCTTTAGTTTAAGCAAAGTCCCCGACACCTCCCAAATCACAACCGTCAGTCCATTTACCAT